GGGGGAAAAGTTAGCTGGTTTTGCTGGTTTTACTGGCTCTGCGTGAAGCTCAATGAGCTCAAAAATCTCTTTTTAATACTTGGGCATAACTAAATTAACAAAGCATAAGTACAAGCTGAGCTGGGTTGTGTGTGCCTGTGTGTGTTTGCCTGTCTGCGTCTGAAGTTTGGCTTCATTTAACAATTTTAGGCAAATTAAATTTCGGCCAGCCTGCAAGCCAAAGCAATTTCCCAGCTACAAATGAGCAAGAATTTTCCGGAAGTGGGGCGCTTCATTTTCCACCACCCCCATGTTTGTCTGGCACACAAACATGCACACAAGTCAGTCGTGTGGTGAGCCTAAAAAATATATGAGTAGTGTACCAAAAAATGATAAAAGATACAGTTTGGAGTAAGTTGAAATATTTATGTAACGAGTTTCTAACACATTTAGGCATTGCTCAATGTTTATTCAAAAGTGGTTGGTTTTTTTTTCCTGGTCAGCTCTCAATCAAGATGTTTCCTTTCGATATCTGATATTAGATATTAGATATTGCTCAGGTTGCTTACGATCGAGAAGTTTGGTTTTCGAAACACTTTGCAGCACAGGTTTTTCCACTTTTTGGGCACCATTTTGTTGCTATATTGGTTGGTATGTCCTTAAGATGGACATGGGACGTGGAACATGGGATGTTGGCAAATAAACGCTTGTTGGCTTGTTGTATACAAAATTGTATATGCAAATGAAGGCAAACAGAAAGAAAATAATTTTTTGTTTCACCATTTTGTTTGCCTCTAATGTGGAGGTGAAATGGACAAGGGCAGAACAACCGGACTTCCTGGACGGGTGTCACTCCGTTTAAGGATGCCAGGACCCTTCAGGGATAACGAAGGATGAGTGCTGTCAACTTCTTTCAGTGCCGGCCTTTTACTTCTGTTTTGTTTTTTCCTTTTTTCTGTTTTATGTAGGAGATATATATATGTATTTGCTTGCTTTTTCCACTTGTTTTGTATGCCGTGACTCCTTCTCGTGACTGGGCCTATGAATTGAATTATTAAGCATGCTCTCTCGCTGCCAGGTCATTCAAATGCAGAAAGCGCCGGCAGCAAGCGACGCGATTTTCTGCTCAAATGGAGGCACAAACTTCAGGCAATAAAAAAACCAGAAGAAACACATATAAAAAACATACCAAAAATCAGGAAAGTAAAGCCTGCCGAAACAAAAAAGGAAAAACAGTGGAGCATTTGCACAACGGCATAGCGAAATGAAAATGCTCCCCCAGCAAATATACGAAAATTAACCAAAGTGAGACGAGCTCAACTCAATCGCAGCTCAATTGTAGCCCTCTTTTGCCAGGCGATGTGGCTTTAATCATAATCAAGTTGGCTAAGTAAGAATATTTCTCGTTTGGGTGGCACAAAAATGAGGAATTTTTTTGAATATCCATTTAGTTTTTAAATGGTTTTGAATATCTTATAGTTTTTAAATGGTAATTTACTCTTTTATATTTTTTAAATGGTAATTTACTATTTTACAGTACATAAATGGTAATTTACTATTTTACGGTATATAAATGGTAATTTACTATGTTATAGTTTTTATATAGTTAAATACTATGTTAATGGTATGTTTTTAAATGGTTAAATACTATGTTAATAGTATGTTTTTAAATGGTAAAATATGGTGGCATGTTTGAACAAATTATAAAACGGGCACAATTCAAGTGAAGTAAATTCAAATTCAATAGAAATCGAACGATCTCGGAGAATATTCGAAAAGCTAGGAAAATGCGCAGGAAAAACGGAATACTGCAGTTTTTGTCCACTTTAAAAACTCAAGTGCTGAACGAAAACTTTGCCCTTTTCACAGCTCCGGCCTGCATAGGCGTAGAAAAACAAGGGAAAAAGAGCAACCTAAATGTATACATAAAATAAAAATAAAAAATTACAAACAAGGACGCAAACTTTTCTAATCTAAAAAAGCACAAAGGCAAACACCAGGCGTTCGTGGGCGATGGGCGGTGGGTGGTGTTTGGTGGGCGTGGTGTGTAGGCCAAGTGCAAAATAAAATTATGGTATTAAATTTTCATGTCAATTACAAACGGCGACAGCAACAGCAAAAAAGTGTGAGAACGAGAAAGAAAGCGAGAGAGAGAGAGAGAGAGAGAGCAAGTCAAAGGAAAAATGGGCGAGTGGAGTGGGTTTTTCGGAAAAGCCAAGAAGCTGGCCATAATAAATGACCTACCCCCTCCTCCACAATTTCCACACCCCCCTGGAAAGCCATCGAATGAAAAGCAGGTGTCAAAAGCAAGTGGCGCACTTGCAATTACAACAAAAAGCATCAGGAGCCGCAAAAAGGCAAGCAAATTTAAATGAAATTTCAAGAAAATGCTGAAATTATGGCGCACATTTTTGGGCCCGCAGAAATTAAACACATAATTTCATAGCTTATTTCTTCATACTACTTTTGCATAGAACCCAATCTAAATCCTACTTATATTTGTATTTAGTTATGCCACTTAATGCACTCTTTAATAATTAGCTTTTTGCATAAATACCCATCGTTACTTGTTTGCTAACTCTTAAAATCTGCATTTTTAAAGGGTGATTTCGAGCAATCGTACTTTTGGTGCAAAGTTTTGCACTAGTTTCTTGTATATGTATATTATGTATTTATATATGTACCTATGCGCGTGAGTATTTTTTCACTTTTGCCAAGCTTCTTCCCGCTTTTGAAAGTAGGTAAAAAAAAAAAAAAACTTTTCCGTTTCCTTTCTCCATTTTGGCCACCTACTTTTGGCCAAAAACCAAGGGCTTCCAGCATTTTTTCGCATTGCCGTTTATTTCCCTTTTATTTTGTTGGCCAATTTCCGGTAATTCAGTTTTATGCAGCAAACTTTTCTATTTTTTCCCGCTCCGCTTTTCGCATCGTATTTATAAATAAATATGTTGTTTTTTCTTTTCTTTTTTTTTGACGGTGGGGGTGCCGTTTCTGGTACCCAAGGTCATTGAGATGTGTAAACTTTTGCCCATTTGCAGTTGGGCGAAGCAACAAATGATGATGAACATTTTTATGGGGGCAGCACAGTGCGTTTCACGTCGTTAAATCACTGGCAAGGGATCAGAGTTGAGAAGTCTGTGAAGTTGTGTGCACTTTTACGGATTCCATTTGCCATGGCGCTGGATTTATTGTTCTACATTTTTTGTACTCTCGATTATTAAAGTCAACTGCATGTTTTTGCGCTTTTTTTTAAAGTCCAAGTAGTTATTATACTTCGTATTTTACCTTATTTTTATAAAAATGCTAACGAAACTGGCTCAAAGTTGTTGAGCTGCACTGTACACTAAATATCTCGGTCGACTTTAAATTGACTTAGATAATTTTCACTTTCACAGCATCACACTGCCACGCCCTCGCCGCCCACGGCCGCCTTACTCTTAATTTGATTAGAAAAGTTTCGACTTGAAAAAAAATCCGAAATTTTATGACTCAAAGAACGCAGAAAAAAATAAGTGAAACACCAAAAAAAAGAGAAATATTTTTGGTCTGGTTTGTTGAGGTTTTTCACCCACATTTTTCCGAATACTCCCCACCCCTCCCCCTCTTTTTTGTTGTCGCTATTACCCGTTCTTCCTCGCCAGTTGCTTTGTTGTGGTCTTCACTTGAAGAATTTGATTGGCAAACGAGGTTTGTGTTTTTTTTTTTTTTGTCGTTGCTGTTGTCTTTTGTCATTTTTGGCAATTGGCTAAAAGTTAATGGAGTGGGAAACTCGGAAGGGGGTTTTCCACCGACTTTCAAGCGAATCGCTCGCAAACTACAATTAAATTGCACGAGAATCTAAACCAAATCAAATCCCAAGCTGTCCGAGTTCAAGCCACAAAGAGTTTGTCTCCGCTTTTTTTTTTGCCATTCAGCTTCGAACTTTTTTCGTTCCACAAACAGAACTATGGATGGTTGGAAAATGGTTGATAGTTGGAAATATTTCAAAATAATTATAATTTTAAGAATAGCAACACTTACACAATTTGAACTGTAAGTTATAATAGTGCTCGAATATGTATTATATTTAGCGCAGAAGTGAACATGCTACAAAGAGATGTCAAACTATTTAATTAGCGTTAAATGGGGAAAAAAGAAGCCACTGAATAATTATGCATATTAAATCAGCATAAATAGCCGCTGTAAGCCAGCACAGCCAAGTGAGTTTGCTGAGTGGTGGAAGTCTGGCATTTGTGGTCATTCCATTAGCGCAGTCCGGAAGCGGAATTTGACCTCTCACCCACGGCAAAAACGCACAACCACCTAGCTTTCGTTTCTTTTTAACACACTTATGAGGTGGGCGCCTCTCCTAATTGACCTGCAACATTTTCGCCATGTAGCATAGAAAAAAACAAAAGTTCCAAGTCACTTTGCATTGATTGATTGATTGATGGATGGATGGATGGTTGGATGGCTGCATGGATGGTTGGATGGATGGTTGTGTGAATGTTTAGATGTATGATTGGATGGAGCGACTGATGATTGGCCGGGCTTGGATTTCACTTGCACTCAAGCAACAGCGCCTTAAATGCAAGATAAACAAAAGGAAAAGCTCGCAGGGGAAAATGTGGAGGGGGGGTGTGGGGTTGGAAATAAAGCATAGCATACTTAGCTGCATCAAATATGAAGTAGTAACATTTTTCGGTCTTGAGTAAAAGTCCTCGAGCCGAGCTCAGACCTCTTAACCCTTGCCAGGCCCTCGGGGCTTGCCCAAGTTTACCCGTTCGCACATAAAGCAAACATTGTGAGAGCTCCTTAAAGGAATTGTATAACGTTAGAACTAAAAGTGTTTCAACTAAGTCCACAGGTTTTGTGTGTGTGTGTGTGTGTGCTTTAAAATGTAAGTTTAAATAATATAATACTATATAGCTTAGTGCATTTAAATTGAAGAAATCTTTCTAGCGGGCTTATTTAACATATTCCATATACCACATATTGCTTAAGTCTTGGCATATCACTTAAGTGCTTTAAACGCGACTTACCATAAAGGAAAATGCCCAGGAAAAATGTGGAAAGTTGCTCGCTGCTGTGTTATTTTATTTTTTCTCAGTTTTGTTTTTTGCGGTCCTGCGAGGTGTTTTTGTTTTTTGTATTTTTTTTTGTTGTGACCAAGTGGATATCGTGTTTGGCCTTGGAGGCGCTGCTGTTTCCCCCACTCAAAAAACGGGTTTATGTCGCCAACTTCTACGTCTAGAAAATGCTTCTCCTTCCTTTTTTTCTTTTAGTTGTATGGCGTATTTTTTTTTTTTTTGTAGATTTTTTTGTTGCAGGTGCAACTTGCGTCGGATGCTGAATGAATGGGCTGGATATTTCGCTTTTGCAGACCGGTTGCACAGGAAGTTGGCCAACACACACACAATATAACACTGGCACACACAATAACAAAAAAAAGTAATTATTTTTTTTTGTTACGTTGAGATTTATTGCGGATTTTTATTAGTAATTTATTTATTTTTTTCTAGAATTTTCGTAGATATCTTAAAGACTTTATTTTGCGATTCTTCGGCATGGTTTCTTCCGACTTATATTAGGAGACTTGAATAATTCTAGGAACAAACACATAGATTGCACTTTCAAAAAATTTTGTTTACTGGCATTAGTTGTTTATTTCGTATGGTGATGATTGCAGTATTTGTTTGGTTGGCTGTTTTATAATTTAAAATATTTTTGTTGTGTTTGCTGCTGCTGCTGTTGTTGTTGTTGTTATTATTATTATTATTGTTGTTGTATCGATGGCTTTTTGTTGCTGCGAGCGTCACGCAACCGAATTACTCGACATCGGAACACGTACTAAAAACTTGTTATAGGAAAATCGCTCTTTGGCCCTCGCTGCTGCTGCGTCCGCTGCCGGCGTCGACGTCGGCGTTAACAGAGGCACACGCGCATGCAAAAACAATGTGAAATGCTCCTCAGGGGGGAGGGGAAAAACTGTTCCCGTTTGGGATCCCATACCCCCCCATCCCCTCTTCGCGCAGCCATACAGCATGGGAAAAGTGTTCCCAAAAAGTGGAGTTCGCGTGCCGTATTGCCTGCTAAAAATAAAATACCCGAGCGTTGCTCCCTCTCTCTCTCTCACTCTCTCTCCCTCTCACTCTCTCACTCACAGTCTGTTGCTAGCATGCTGTACTAAATTTAAACGAAGTGCAACGAAGGCAGCCTCGTGCCTTAAAACCAGGTCGTCGTCGGCTGTCGTCTGCAATGTTAAGGATATAACAGTTCTGTTTTTGGTAACAGCTCAGCGTTTTTTTTTTTGTTCGTTTTTGGGGGGGCCTCCTGTATGCGAAGATATCAAGGGGGGTTGGCTTAAGTGATATTATAGCCCGGCATAAATTAGCCATCGGGCCCGACGCATTAAAATCTTGATTGGTGGCCAGCAGATGCAGCTCCAAACCAAACAAAAAAAATGGAAAAAAAAAACATAAAATAAAAGCGGAAGTGCCACACAAAAGTGACAGCGCCAACAGCATGCCCCACATTGAAGTGTGTGTGTAAAACTATAAATATACCATATATAACTACTATATAACTACAAATATACAGAAACATTAAAACCTATAACCAACGACAAACATTATGAATTTTCCAGGTAACCCACGTAATTCGAGTTATAAGTATTTCACAGATGATTTTAGCTTGACTTTATGAAACATATTGACTTACATATTAGTTGCATTGTTATGCTAATAGCTTGAACGCGACTGTATCCAGGTGGAGTCATATATGGGTGGTAAAGTGTTATATGGGAAGGCGAACTCTTGACATTGATAAGACAAACCCAAGAGACCCACTGCCACTTCCATTTCCACCGGCGAATGGGTCACCCAAATGCTGCGAAAACACAGTGGCAATCAGAATATTAAAAATATTTAATGAATGTTATTATTATTTTTAAATTTAAATTTAAATTATTATGTATAATTAAATGTATTATTACATTTATAATTAAATGTATAATTAAATGTTTAATTAAATGTATTATTAAATTCATAATTAAATGTATAATGATATGTAGGTCGTATGTTACATGGATCAATTTGTAGGCTTTGTTAAAATTCTTAAACATTTTGTAAAAATATATACAGAAATATATTTGTAGTTCTTCTGCTGGCAGCATCCGAGTTTCCACTGTGATCTCGTGACAAAGCACTGGAAAAGCGTTTTCCCCCTTACGCCAGTTTTTCCAGTTCGAAGAACTATTGACAATTCACGCTGCTCTTTCTCTCTTTCATTTTTCCCCTGCGATTGGGAATGAGGTTAAAAATTTAAATAAAATGCGCATGCAAAAAAACAGCATGTGAGTGGAAAAAGGAGGTAATGTGAAGAAGGCACAACAGATGTTTACAACAAAGGCCAGGCCCATAATTAAAAGCTGGCCCAGAATGCAACTGAGAACTTTCCATACGCCCACCGCCGACCCACCCACCACGCACTTCTTCACAAACTCTTTACTTTTAAATCGGTTTTGGGTCAGTGCTACTTTTATCTTTTATCTTGGCTTGACATTTTAAAACATGAAACAATTTAAGTACAAAAAGGTACATATATTCGAGTAGAGCAAGCATAATATACGATAAATGCAGCTAAATAGCCGCATTCGTGCAGTGCCCTGCGTTTTTATCTCCGTTGGTGCGAAATGTTTTTCTACAAAAATTTACGAGTAACGCCTACCAAAAAAAAAAAAAAAAAAAAACTAAAAAAAACTTAGAAAAAATGAATCCACACGAACCGAAAAAAGGGGGGCGTCTTTGGGAAATTTTTGGGCCAGATATCTCGTTTTGCTTTTCATTTTTTCCATTTTTTTTCCATTTTTTTTCCATTTTTTTTTGTTCGATTTTGATTTCTCGGTTGTGACAGACGAATGTCAATAGAGGGAGACAGCCGATGTGCCGGTCCATCGCCCCCCCATCGCCCCGTCGCACTCGCACAGCTCAGCAGCCGTCGCATGCCCATCAACAACAAATCAATGACGACGACACATGTTGGACATCCCAACTTGAAACCGAAAACTGGGAGTCGGCAGAGATAGTGCTGAGTGGGGACGACACACCAAGAAATCGGGCTGCACTGCGAGAAACGGCACTTCAATTTGCATTTCAAGATCTAGCAAAGGGTAAAGTGCGTTTTATCTATATATGCTTTGCTGCCTGAAAGTGTAAAGAAATGTGTTACGAAAAATTGGAGTACGGGCTGCACCTGAATTTCGCTCAGTGTGTCGGGGGAACAACAACAATGCAAGCGTTTAAGCATTTGGAAGCAATTACCGCAGCAATGAAGCGTTGAATGAATGGGAATGAATGGCCAAGAACGGCAGATGAGGTAGTTGAGCGGTATGTCGAGCGAGAGGGCCATACGAAGTCCTGGGCGGTGCGACAGGGACGGGGCGCCGTGTTGCCGAGCGGGACACACGTGTCCATGTGGATCAGTTTGTACAGCCCCCCTTCCCCACTCCTCCCCACGGCAAACGAATTTATGTACATTTTTGTGCATATTTCCTGGGATTTTGGATGCTCGTTTGGCGCTCGGTCGCCTCTTTCTCTTATTTATCGGGATTACTTACTTAGTGGAAACGACAAACGACTTTAGACAGAGGCACAGCAAGAGAAAGAGAGGGGGCTAAATGCGCAGAGAGAGATGGGCAACGGAAACACGAGACGCTTCAAATGCCAATGAGCCGCAGATGAATGGTACAGTGAACTAGGAATACACGCACATATACAACAATGTGTAGCATTGCCGACGGATTATAAAGAATATTAGAAAAAAATTTCCCTGATGAAAACATATATCAAAAACTTTATCGAATATCACAAAAAACTTTGGATGATGATGAATACCTATATCGAATATTATACAGAAATATGTCAGGTTATATATAGAATATTATAAAGAAATTAGCTTGGCAATGAAAACTGATATCAATGAATTTTGAAATTAAAATTCATTTAAATTAAATTCAAATTTAAATGAAGCTTAAGCTGCATAGAGACAAGGTCCATTCATGCCATCTTCACTGTACTTGAGCCTTCCGAGTTGTTTCCGCATAATCGAGGGCGGAACAACGGAAGCTGTCTGCTGAAAGAGAGGGGTATACACGCGGGGAAAGAGGCGCTGCTATGCGATCCCCACCAGGCAAGGTTTTCGTGGGTGACAGAGAAAGAGAGAGAGAGTGAGCGGGAGCTTTAATCTAATTGCTGCACTCCGGAAAATTAAGAATACGAGCAGTTTTGACTTTGAATTCTTGTATCATTCTCCGCTAAGTTCTCCGCCCCCAATTTCATTCTTTCTTGCCTTCTTCTGGTGGCTTCCTTTTTTCATTTTTGGTTGCCCTTTTACGACGTTGTTGCCGCTTTTGTTTGTGTTCTGCCTCTTTAGTGTTGTTATGATTGCAGTTGTTCGAGTCGCTCTTGTTTTTGTTATTTTGTGGCCGATGACAGCTGAAAATTGGAAGGAAGCGCCGCCTCAAGTACAGTGGTACAAGCAAGTCGAAAACGCAGAAGTATTTCCTTTACACGGCATCAAATGAATTGAAAACTATCTTATTGAAGCATTAAACTGTTTTTTATCAGTTACTACTGTCATTGTCAAGGAAACAACCAATTTGTATTTAGTTTCCATGCCAAGAAAAAGATAGACACAAAACAAAAGAATTATTTTTAAAAATTCGATATCCACGTAGGGTAATTTGATTATAACTTGGCTAAAAAATGTCACAAAGCCATAATATTTACTGTTTTGTGCAGCTAATGATCCAATTAAACAACCCTAATCACATTCTAGCATATTTACAAAATTATATTTTTGACCATTTTTTTTGCTTTTTTACAAAGGATAACATCATGATTTTTTGCAGAAAATGAACAAAAATTAAAATGTTTTTTTTTGAACGCCATTCAAACGGCAATATAATTACGAGCTTAACGAGGTATAAAACTCCATATTTGGTTGGTTATTTTCAAAGTTCTGGCCAAATTACCCATAATTTTGGTACACAAATTAGGGTAATAACTATTGAAAAGATATTCCCTATAAAAAACCTATAAAATGTATATTTGATATTTATTCCACTGTAACACAGCCTCAAATCGTGGCCTACAAAATCTGTAATGCTTGGCACTTCCGTTGGTTTATGCATTTTTTGGTGCATATTTGTTGGCTCACAGCTTCTGCTTTTTGTATTTTGTATTTCGTATTTGTATTGTATTTCGTATTTCAAAAGAACATTTTAAATATTAAAGTTTTGTGTGCTTAGCGCCTGATGCCCATTATGTTATTGTATTTGCGTTTGATATATTTGTTTTGTTTGAAAATTGAGTTTCGGCGTTGATACTTCTATTTAGTCAGGCCGAAAATGTTCTTGTTTTTTTTTTATTTTTGGACGCTCTCCACTCCACAGTGGGTGCGAAGGAGAAGGGCCGATGTGGAGGGGGGATGCGTGATGAGCGCTTCCGTTTCCGCCGCCAGTAGTAGGGCAATTATTATGCTACTCAAGCCGTTCGAGCGCAAATAATACCAACTGTAGAATTGAGGGAGTCATTGAGGAAAGCATAGCAGACCTGGTGCTATCCATTAGTATTTACTGACGATACTAAACACAACGACATGAATGCACTGCACTTGCAATTCAATAACTATTCTAGTTTCACCATAAGCGGCAGTCATTTATTTGGCATAAACCTACACATTTATCATCCAACCGGGCAGGGTCAACTTTTTAAAAGTCGAAAAGGGTAGGCAAAATGCTCAAGTATCAATGGAGTTGAAATGAAAAATAAGCACCGTGACTGTTGTAAGTCGCTCATTGTTGGCGTTTCTTTCATTCTTTTTTTCAGGGGGCACACGTCAATAATTGCGCTCGAAAAGAAGTTAAGGAAAACACAATCAAGCGAGGGTCCTGCCAAGATCTTAACCCCTGACTGCCCCCTCGCGACTGTCTTAATGTGAAAATCATGCAATGAACCAAATGCGAACGGAAATGATTCACACTCCAACTGAAATGCGATTCGAGTGGCTCGTTCGGGGGGGATCAGAATAAAAATACAAAAATACAAAGGTGAGGGGATGAGGGGAAGATGCCGTGGCGCGGAAGGGCGACACACCCGTATCGAAATTGCGTTTTCAACAATTGCTGCAACACCAGTGACGCCGCCACTTGGAACAACAATGGCAAATGTTTTTCCCCAACATGTTTGTGAGATGAGCCACTGTCGCTGTCGCTGAAAACCATGGCATAGGGTTGTCTACACTGCCCGAAAATGGGTGCCCTCTATGTACGTAAATATGTAGTCAAGCTGAGTACCGTGAAGATCCACATACTTTTGCGCTCAGTGCACAGCGAACAGACAAACACTGTCAAGGCAATGCCAACGCAAATATTTCACTTCCTGTTCTGTCGATTTGACCCCGCTGGCTGGAGGTTTTTCCTCTGGGCCAAAAGGTTCAAAGGTCAAGGATTTTCACGTTTAATTAGACGTGCGACGTTGCCACAGCAGCAGCAGCAGCAGCAGCGGCAGTGGCGGTACGTGGGCGGTACGTAGGCGGCAAGAGGGCGTGCCAGCATCTGGGGGCGCTGGAGCGGCATTTAAATTTCCAATTAGCCACCCACTGGCGGCAAAAGCTTCAGGTTAAATACCAGAGTGACACAAAGGAGTGTTTTTAGAAGCTTAAGACGTCGGCTCGGACCGAAGAAAAGTGGGCGGAATAGAGGGTGGAAAAGTAGGCGGAAAAGAGGGTAGAAAAGTGGGTGGAAAAGAGGGTGGAAAAGTGGGCGGAAAAGCGTGATGTTGGCAGGTGAGTGAGCGGTGACGACGAGACATCATTGTCCTCGCAAT